GGCAAAAGGGGTTCTTTACCCACCTTCCATCTCCTCCTTTGCCCAGCAGAATTCTTTATGTATTTTGGGAGACAACAAATGTTTGTTGCACTGAGCCAAAGTCATCATAGGCAGGGAGTTGCAGAGACACATTCCCTGGACAGTTAGAGCCAGAGATTATATCTAACAGCACCGAGTAAAGCAGGACTTTGGCAGTTATTCAGGTCATTGAATCTGTGTAGACATCCAAATGGGAAAATTCAGGCCACTTCATTGGCATGAAGTTTTTGAAAAAACAATTTTTTTGACATTTGCACAATCTTTATTCTCCCACATGTCTCTGCAAAAAATAGCCTTCTGGTTCACATGCCTTTTACCATGTGTCTGTTCCCACTGTCTGTTAGGCCATTTCTGGCCAAATTCCTGACCAGAAACTGCCAGGAGAGGCTTGAACCACTCAATTTGGCTGCCTGGATGTGGGATCAATGAACTGTGAAGGACTCAGAGATAGCAAAGACACATGGAACCTGTCCCATGGTCTGGTCTGTGTGGCTCTAGGCAAGCCTAACAGTACTGCTTGGGAATATTTTGTGCCTTTTTTTTACAGTAACCTCATAATCTTAAGGACGTTTCCTTAAATACTTTAGATTCTCATAAGAGTCCATTAATATTTCTCATTAATCAATTTATTTAGACATTCCCATTTATCTATTCATTATTCATCATTGAGCTCCTGCTCTGTGCCAGGTATTATTTCAATGTTTAGAAATCAAAACAGATGGGGCCAACCCATGGCCTGGTGGTCAATGGAGCTTGATCCCACATGGCCAACCCCACAGTTTGAGTCCTGGATCCTGCAGCTTGGAAAACATGGGAGGCATATACATGTCCAAAATCCCCAAAGGAGGGAGAAATGGAGCAGAAGGGATTGCAGCATGACCATGTTCCATTGGGGAGTGCTTTCTTCCTCCTCCTCCTTCTCTGTGTCTCACTGCCCTGCCCTCTAGCAAATAAAAAAAAAAAAAAAAAAAAAAAAACAAGATAAAAAAACAGACAAATTTCCTATTTTTAAGGCGCTTTCATTCTAGCTGGGTGGAAGGAAAATAAGCTAATATATGTCCTGTGGCAGAAAGGTCTTTGAAGAAAAAATAAGCAGGGTGTCTTAGTATCTATTGCTACTAAACAAACCACTCCAAAATTTAGTGGCTTAAAACAACACTTTTTATTATTTCTCATGAGTTTGCACCTTGGCTGGGCTCTTCTGGATGGTTCTTCTGCTGGAACCCTCTCCTGGACTCACTCAGGAGGTTACCGCCTGGAGACTCAGTGAGGGCTCGTGGTCTCAGCTGCCTCGTTCACGAATCTAGGGCCTTGGTGCTAGAACAATGACTCTCATTGTTCAAGAGCCTGGCATGGGCTTCCTGGATATGGTCAGGGGAATATTCCCAGAGTGCAAAGGCAGGGTCTGCAAGGTCTCTTGTGACTTTGGACCAGGTCAAACTGCACCACTTCTGCCTCATCCTATTGGTCAATGCTTGTTTCAAGGCCTGGCCAGTCTCTAGTAGATGCTACTTCTCGGTAGGAAAAGCTGCAAAGGATTTGTGACCATTTTAAATCTACCATACAGGGTAAGGGAATAGCAAAAGATAGGATGTACTATTTTAAGAGGTTTTTGCCTTAATACATGTGTACTCACCAGAGAGAAAGCGAAACAGAGGCAGTGATAGGAACGGCCATGGATGCAATCCCTTCTCCATTCTTCCCCGGGATCTTGGGCACACATGTATATGCACCCTGTCTGATTTTCAAACCACTGGGTCCTGGACTCAAACCGCAGTTAGTCATATGGGAGTCCAGCGACATAACCACTTAGCCATCTGCTAGCCCTGAATGTGCTATAGAGAGATCAGAGAAGGCCTCTCAGATGAGGTGTCATTTGGGCAGAGACCTGAATGAAAAGAGAGAAGTGAGCCCTACAAATATCTGGGGGAGAGACCAGCAGTTAGCGTAATGGCTATGTCACTGGACTCCCATGTAGTCAACCGTGGTTCGTGTCCCGGACCCAGTGGCTTAAAACTCACGCCAGGCGCATGTGCATGCATGCCCAAGATCCCGAGAGGAGAATAGAGGAGAAGGGATAGCGGCATGGTCATCCCCCCTGGGGGGTGATTTCTCGCTTTCTGTCTCTCTGTCTCTCTCTGTCTGTCTGGCGAGCGCATGCGCCCTATTGCAAAAAACCTCTCCAAAAAAAAAAAAAAAATCTGAGGGATGGATTGGCCCAGCGGTTAAGTGCTGTGCAGAGAAAGCTAGATCCCGCACGGCTGACCAGGGTTCAAATTCCAGCCCATGCCAATTGAAAAACATGCCAGGTATGTGTGTGTGCCCAGGATCCTGACAGGATGGAGAAACGGAGGAAGAAGGATTGCAATATGACCAGGCCCTCCTGTGGGTCGCCCCCCATCTCCCTCTCTCTTTTTCTTTCTCTCATACACATGCACACATACCTTCTAGCATTAGAAAGAAAAATCTAGGGGAAGAGTGTTCTGGCAGGCAGGTGGAATCACAAGCAAAGTCTCTGAGGCCAGAGGAAGGCGATTGTTTGCATCTGAGATGATAATACAGTATTAAAACTTTTTGAGGAAGATTATTTCTAGTTCTCCTTGGGCAACAATAGAGAATTCCTGCATGAGCTGAGCTAAATTTTTTTTGAGAGGTTTTTGCTATAGAGTGTATGCGCTCGCCAGAAAGACAGAGAGAGAGAGAGAGAGACAGAAAGCGAGAAATCACCCCCCAGGGGGATGGCCACACCACAATCCCTTCTCCTCTCGGGATTTTGGGCATGCACACACATGCACCTGGCGTGAGTTTTAGCCACCAGGTCAGGGACTCAAACTGTAGTCGACCACGTGAGAGTCCAGCGACATAGCCATTACGCCAACTGCTGGTCCCATGAGCTGAGCTAAATTAAAAGAGGGACAGCTGATGGGGAAACACTGAGATGTAGGGGTGAATTGTTTATGCAACTTAAGACCAGGAAGAGGTCATCTATAGTCTCTGGTAGAATTCCAGGAACTCCTCAGTTTGAAAATTTCCCCGTTTCCAAATCCAACACTTCTAGTTTTGGTCACAGTGCTTCGCACACATCCTGGTCTAGGCTGGACCGCGTCCCTGCCCTCACACAGCCTATGGGAGCACCCTGAGCAAATCAAGGTTTAATTGACGAGAGCAAAGGTGTCTGACTTCTAAAGAACGGAGCAGAGCAATTATCTAAGATTGCCAGGGCAGCCTGAGGGTAATCAGGCAATTAGTGTGTGTGTGTGAGTGTGTGTGTGTGTGTGTGTGTGTGTAGGGGTGACAATTATCAGGCTCATTGGCTACCAGACACTTGTCACCACTCCTATGGTCCTTGGGCTGGGTTCCTGGCTCTACCTGTGCACTATTAAGGTAATGACCCTGTCACACAGAGGAGCCTATTATTATCTCTGTGTTAACACGGTATTTATCGACCAAACCCTGCCAAGTCACTCTGTAATTAAAAGGCCTCCACGTGGTGCCCCTGCCCTGGCATTGGACAGCCATGAAAGTTTTAAAAGGTGGAGAAGATGGTCTGGGGTCATTCTGGGAGGCTCAAGAGACACTGTCACTGAATCCTAACCAATCCCCATCGCCAAGACCTGGGACTGTGCACCCCAGCAACAGGATTTAGAGGCCTTGACACATGGGGCTATCTCACTGGCTATTGAGTGAAACGCGAGCCAGCTTCCAGAGGGTGAAAGTGGGATTTCTTCGGGAACCTCTGAAAGCGGTGGGAGTGAAAGAGGCCCTCCCAGCATGTGGAGCAGAACTTGCTGGAAGTCCTCTCAAGAGCGTGCCCGCCCTGCTTTCCAGTCTCCCTGGCTGTCTCCTTCAAACTCCAACAACCCTTCTTCGTGGCAGCCCTCTCCTGCCTCTGGGGGGCTCTTCTCCACTTGTCACAAGCGGTTCTAGATCGCCTTTGCCCTCACGTCACCATAAAAGGCACAAACGCAGAAATCTCCAGAAAGAGTTGAAGGGGCCACGCTGGGACCACTTACAGGTCACCGTTTCACCCCTGTTGCCTAAAGAATGCTGTTGTGAGCATCCCATACAAGGGACCTTCCAAAGTCCGTAGAAAATGGTGCAAATTTTGGGGGGGGTGCAAAAAATTTGGAAATTCATGCACTGTTTTTTTTTATGATATGCATTTTCCATAAATTTCTTGACGGTCCTTTGTACAAATATCTTCACACACAGTTATAGATTTTTCTGTGAGATAAATTCCCGAGTTTGGGATAGAAACTTTCATTTGAAAAGGTATTGTCATAATAGCTGCTAGAAGGCTGTTCACATTTAAATTCCCACTAATAGTTCATCAGAATAAATGTTTTCCTACCTGCTGGCCAACTTGGGTTACTACACCTTTTAAAAATGACCTTCATGGTATTCTGATTATACATGTAATATATGTTCATCGGATAAAAATTGTAAAATGCAGAAGAGAGTAAGGGAAAATAAAGATAAGTTGTCATGTCACCAGCCAAATAAGAAGTAACAGCCTGTTTTTATAGAAAATGACAGCAGAGCCACAGATAGCTGAGAGAGTCACCTGAGGAACCTTGCAGAGTCCTCAGTGCAGGTGACAAGGTGTTCAAGATCACCTTTCTCTCTCCCCTGCCACCCGCCACGTCTCCAGAGGTACCTTCTTCAGCTGGTGGGGACTATCCCTGGGGGTGGGAGCAGTTCCTCATATTTACACATCTGAAGTGTGCCCCCACCCTCTTGCCACACCAAAGCAGTTCTGCTTCCAGAAGGCTCCATGCCAGGGCACCTGTGGGATAGAAATGGAGTACAAACACTCGAACTGTGTCTCCAGACATTGGCAGCTGGACCCAACAGATTGGAACCTATCCCTCTGGCCCAGCCCACAGCTGGTTCGATTCCTCAGGGACCAGGTGTGCCAGGTTCAGCCTCTGCTCTGATGACCGCTCTGCTTTCCATTCCAGAGACCTGAACTATAATGAGCTGCAGGAGTTCCCCATGGCCATCCGGACCCTGGGCAGACTGCAGGAACTGTAAGATCCTCTGCTGATTTCTGTGGGGTCCACTTCCCCAAGGGCAGGGTGGAAGCAGCCTCTCTCGCCTCCTTGCCTCCTCACCTCCGTGTCCTTGTAACGCTGCAGCTGCCACCCTGCCCCACCTCCAGTGCAGCCCCACACCATGGCCCATTAGCTTGGCTCAGAGCATTCCTGGGGGTTCTCATCAGCAGTCGAGTCCTGGCGGGCACATGGAGCCAACCTCCCACATGAACTTGGTGCCCGCTGTCCTGCCTTGTTGGGATGTGTCCAGAGGGGGGTGAGGAGGAGAACTGAGGGGCTGGTGTATGGCCACTCCTCAGCACTTTGGCCCCAGGGGTCTGACAGGTTGTTCTCTGGCTCCCCGTGACCACCATTGAGCCTCTATTTTAATACTCACTGAGCACCCGCGGAACCCTGCACTGTGCTTCGGCGCTGAACACAAGCAAGGAAGATAGACATGGGCCTTCTCAGAACTCCTTGGGCTCACCGAAAGTAGCAGACGTAAACAGGGAGTAGGACAAAGCGGTGAGGAGTTCCGCTCCTCAACTGTGTTGCATTACTGAAAGGATCGTGGGAGCTCAGAGTAACAGAGAGAGATCACTGCAGACTGAGAGCTACTTTAAGGGATGCTTGAGCTTGTGGTGGCAGTGACAGGGACAGGAGAAGCAGTTCAGACTGAAGAGCTCATAGGTAAGACCAAGAGAGGAAGCTGAGCTGCAGAGGGGTGACCTGGGGGGGTTGGGGGCAGCCTTGCTGGAGGGCAGGCTCCAGGGAAACCAAAGAGCCCTTTTGGAGAGCTAGAGTTGGGCCAGGGTAAGGGGCCCCAAGGGCCACGCAGACAGCCCCACGCTTTCAGGTAGCACGGCCTCTCTGTAGCTCGAACTGTCACTAAGACCAGCAGACCAGCCCCATGCTGCCTCCCTCGGCTCATCTGGGTTTGAGGATGTGAAGACCTGTGCAGGGATGGGACAAGGAACAGCCAAACCAGCCAGAGGAAAGGTCTGAACAAGAACGTTCTGAGAGTCTTCCATTGCCCATGAGCCTCCATGGTCTGATTTGCTCTAGGCTGGGACAGAAGAGAGGGATGAGATTTGATTAATCAAGAGGACATGGAGGGAACAGGAATAATGAAGCTTTAGGGAAGAGAGAACAGAGACCTAAGTTAGCAGGGGAAGGAAGATACATGGGTCAGGTGTGTGTGTGTGTGTGTGTGTGTGTGTGTGTGTACGCATGCATTACCTCTTACCTATCTACCTATCACCTTTCTATCATCTATATATTCTCTGCATGTCTATCATGCTCTATCACCTACCTGTCTTCTAGCTATCATTTATATCTATCTAGTCATCTAACATCTATCTATCTATCATCTGTCTGTCTATCAAGAGAAAACTGCTTGAGGATAGGGTCTCTGTCTTACAAACTTCCAAATCCCACAGAGCTTGACCCAGCACCAGACATGAGCTAGTCACCTAAGGAAACTTCCAGAATCCCAAGGAGGTGTTCAAAACAATGCGAGGCCATGGGAACCAGCAGTTAGCGTAATGGCTGTGTCGCTGGACTCCCACGTGGTCGACCGCGGTTTGTGTCCTGGACCCAGTGGCTTAGAACTCACACCAGGCGCGTGTGCGTGTGTGCCCAAGATCCCGAGAGGAGAATGGAGGAGAAGGGATTGCAGCGTGACCATCCCCACTGGGGGGTGATTTCTCGCTTTCTGTCTCTATGTCTCTCTCTGTCTGTCTGGCAAGCGCATGCACCCTATAGCAAAAAAATTCTCAAAAACAAACAAAAACAAAAAAACAATGCGAGATCCATCCTCCATGGCATAGCCAATAGCATGCTGGCTGCGGAGCTGGAAGCCACGTGCCAACAGAGATTCAGGCTCCTGGCCCAGCTAGCCTGCAAATACGCTGCACACACACACATGTGCCCAGGGTACTGGGGGGCTAGAGGGCTGCAAGGAGGGGATTGCAGAGTGACAGCGCTCTGTGAGGTGCCTCTCTCTCTCTCTCTCTAACATGAATAAGAAATGTATATCACTAGTTAGAGTATGAAGGCCTTGGCCAGGTGTATTGGCTGGAGGTGTCTGAGGGTATGCCTGTGCATGAGGGAGGATGAAGGTGGAAGAACTGTTAGGAGAACAGGAAGGACAGAGAGGGGAGCCCAGGCGAAAGTAATGCCAGAGAAGCCCCAAACTTGCCACGAGGTGGAGGATAGCTGAAAGAGGCCTGCTTGGCACGGGCTATGTACTTTCCAGTCCAACATGCTATTCATTTTGAAATGCTTTTCCCAGCTAGCAGATGCATAACTCCGGGCTTCCAGACCTCCACGCTCCACTGTTCCTCATCCCCCCTACTGCCACCCAGTCATCCACTCTCTGCTTCTGCACTTTGTCCCTCCTCCTGCTCCCGATGTGCCTATGTTTCTTCACTCCAGGGACCCGAGGTCAAGCAAGACTCCATTTGAGAAACATCCTTCACTCTGGAACGCCTTGGAAGCTCTGTTCTTTGTTTTTGTTTATGTTGTTTTTATTTTTTCTGCATCCTACACACACTTGGCGTCCTCTGTGGGGAACCCCCAGGGCTCCTGCTGCAATGAATAAAAAGAGGATTGCCCACTTGGGACCTGAACTCAAGCCTGGGCTCTCAGCTGCTCCTGCAGGCTTACCGAGGCCTATGCCTGGGCCTATAGCCCTCTCTCCTTTCACACTTGGTAGGAAAACGGCGTGTGCTTGAACAGAGAGGAAAAAACGCAGGCAGGATTTGAACCTGGACTCTCCTGGTAGAGCTCCCTTTGGTCTTCTGGCCTGTGTAGTTGGCTCTCTGACACACTCTGGATTCCTGTCTCTCTCTCCAAGTCCTCCTGGCTGTTTTCTTCCAGGGGGTTCCATAACAACAACATCAAGGCAATCCCAGAAAAGGCCTTCATGGGGAACCCTCTGCTGCAGACAATGTGAGTCCTACTTTTCTGGTCTCCGGGTGCTGAGCAGCGTTTGGGGAGGAGGGTAGAGGTTGGGGAGGCAGAAGAGACATTTCTAGAAAGCACTGGGGAGGCAGGAGCTAGGGAGGAGACGTCTGCCTGTGTGCTCTCGGCTGGGTCTCCACTGGAGGGAAGAAAGTAGAGGTTAGCTTCTGTCCCAGCTGAGAAGGCCAGAAACCGGAATTCGGTGTTTGGGTCTTTGTCTTCCAGACACTTTTATGATAACCCAATCCAGTTCGTGGGAAGGTCAGCGTTCCAGGACCTGCCGAAACTGCACACACTGTAAGCTGGCACCTGGAGGCTGTCGTGGCCTGGACTGCTCCTCTTCCTCACTCCTTGCTCTCTCCTGCCTTCTGCCTGCTCTCCCAGGTGGCGCCACCCCACAGGAAGGTGTGGTCTGCGGGGCTGCAGCCCTGAGCGGTCCTTTGCTCAGACCCATTCCCAGGTCTGCCTGGACTTCATGGCCTGCCTCTCCCCACAACTCATGGCTTCTTCCAGATCTCAAATGGATGAAGAAGGTCCTTGTCCGTAGTCAGGGGGGGTTATCCAGTCTCTTTGGTTTTATCCTATTCGTGGTAGCTGCTCCAGAAGTAATTGCGGAAGACTGGGGAGAAACTCCGAGACCCATGTGTGCGCCAAGCTGGTTTTGCAGTGGCATCGGAGCATGGAGCCTTTGTCCGGTGCTGGGCCATCTGGATCAGCCCGAAGGCACTCCTCTGTCTCCTCTCGCCTATTCGCTTATCATTTATTTATTTATTTATTCATTCATTCATTATTTATTTATTTATTCTTAGAGACTTTTGCTGCAGGGCATGTCTCTCACTGGAGAGACAGAAAACGAGAAATGACCCCCTTAAGGGGAATGACCACTCCACCATCCCTTCTCCTCCATTCTCTTCTCAGAATTTTGGGCACATACACACACATGCCCAGCATGAGTTTCAAATTGCTGGGTCTGGGACTCAAACTGCGGTTAACCACATGGGAATCCAGCACCTTAACCACTATGCCACCTGCTGGGCCCCGCTTTTATTTATTTTTAGTTGCCACAGGCACATACTGGGAAAGTACCCCCAGTGGGGCACGGTCATGCTGCAATCCTTCGCTTCCACTTCTCCACCCTGTCGGAACTTCGGGCATGCATGCACAGGTACCTGGCATGTTTTCAAGCCAGAGGAGGCTGGGATTCAAACTGTGGTGGGCCATGTGAGCCCCAGCTCCTGTAACCATTAGGCCATTGGACCGACCTTCTTGCATTCTTTTAAATCCCAGCCCAAGTCCCACTTCAGAAAAGCTCCACAGCTTGCCCTCAGCTCTCTGAGGTAGTTCTCTGGGTGCCCAGGATGGGAAGGAGCACCATGAAAACCCTTCTCCTTTCCTTTCCACACCTTCCAAGCGTGTGCTCCGCTCGCTCGTTCCTCACAGCACCTCGTCTTCTCCTCACCTGTGAGGTGCATTAGGACGGGTCCCTGTTGCAGATGGAACCTGAGGTTCTTGCCCTTGCTGTCCTCTTGTGGGAGGTCCTGTGTGCATCCGTGTCCTCACTATGACGGGGAATGTGGGAAGGGAAAACCACTGGTCTAAAGCAGTTTCAGAGGCCCTAGTAAAGCTCTAGCAGATGGCAATTTCAGGAGGGCCCTTTCTCAGGCTCTTATAAGCAAACCCCAGCAGCCGAGGACTTTTTCAGACTTACCCATGCTGTTGCCTTTTAAAGAGGCATTCCCATGTTCCTCGCCTGTGTGTTCTGGGTTCTGTTTGATGTTTGCCAGCTGAAGCCTGAGTGCTGAGGTTACCCAGTTCTGTCTGGATGCGGGTGGGTTCAATTAATTTCAGAAAATGGCAGGCTGGATTCTACTGAGCATTGCTTGACCCCCACAGCACCTGCATGGCATATTTGAGAGAGGCTGGAGGTAAGGATGACCCAAAAGGTGATGTCCCTGAGTGGAGAAGTCTGAGGACTTAGCCTAGAGGTTGAGGTGCTCTAACCCTGCCCCTCAGAGCTTGCTGTCTGTGTTTGCAGATCCCTCAATGGTGCCACGGACATCCGGGAGTTCCCAGATCTCAAGGGCACCACCAGCCTGGAGATCCTGTGAGTGGATTCTCTCTTCCTCCACCTGATCCCTTGCCAAGTATCCCCCCAGGAGCTCTTCTGCCTCCCTTCCCCTCGAAGACTGGCCAGGGTCCTTGCCTTCCCCTCATCTGTCCTGCCTCTTCTGCCGGCTCAGCTCCAACCTACGCCCGTGCCCCCACCGAGCCCAGGGCCACCTTCTGACATGGCCTTGCCTGCAGGAGCAGCAGGTGAAGAGGCTGGTCTCCCTCTTTACCAGGCTGGGATTTCTCAGGCAGGAACCAGCCATGGGTGGTCTGAGGACCCACGATGGAATGGAGGACTGTGAAAACCCATCTCCTTTGCCTTTCTGAAGCTTGAACCCAGCAGGGCCTGTCTGGCGTTTTCTATGATGAAAGCTTGTAGAGTGAGGAAGGGGTGTCAGAGCCAGTTAGGCCCTGGACATGTGCGCATCCCCACAGAAAGCAATCAAACAAACCCCCAGAGACTGTCCTGCCCCATGTCCCGCGGCTTATTCACAGCATTGCGGGACTGGAACGTTCCTCTGTGTCGCTATTGTCTCTCCCTAGATAGGCTGGCATGTGGGACATTTCCCACGAGGGAAGTAGTAGTTCCCACATATGACCTTGGCCTCAGCCTTTCCTGGGACGCCCTGTCCCTCAGCCAAGTCTGCTCTCTGACCTGCCCCCACCACCCTCTCCACCCTCCGCGTGGTTCCCACGGCTCACCAGGGCTTTGTTCTATCCGTTCCCTGCTATGGTTTTCCCTCCTATCCAAGGGCCTTAGAGCAGAGAAGGTTGCAGTCCCTGTCCTCAGTGCCAGAGTGCTGGGGACCCTTATGAGACCTGGGATGTGGGGCAGGGCTGAACCTGCAGAGACCGGCTGCCAAGCAGAGCCCCCGGGCTTGGCCCTCCTGCTCCATTCTCTACTCCTCGCTCCTCCAGGCCCAGAGAGCTCAGTGCCCAGATGCCAGGGCCCACCCCTTTCTGTGCCTGCAGCCCTACCCATGCTCCGTCTCTCACCACTGCTCTCCTTTGTCAGCTCTGTCCTCCCACAACAGTATCAGGTCCAGAGCTGGAGATGGGTGGCTGGGAATGGCAGGGCCCTGGCCTGGTGCCAGCTCTGTCTCTGTTCTCCCTGCAGGACCCTGACCCGCGCAGGCATCCGGCTGCTCCCACCAGGGATGTGCCAACAGCTGCCCAGGCTCCGAGTCCTGTGAGTGGCTCACAAGCATTCTACAGCCTTGGCTCCGTGCCCTGCCCCACGTCCTAGCAAAGGCCGCTCCTGCTCCTGTTCTACTTGGTCACAATAATTTGCTGAACAGCGGGGCGGTTTAGGCTCCTGTGAGAACATGCATGGGCTCTTTTGTTCAGGATAAAAAGACAATGGTCTTGGGAGTCAGACCTGGGTTTCAGGTCCAGCTCTGCCACTAACTAGCTGTATTATTATTATCTTTTTAATTTCCAGAGGATATGTGAGTGCACCAGAGAGAGACAGAGAGTGGCCGAGGGAAAAAGAATAACCTCCCACCCCCATGGGCCATGGTCATAGTGCAATCCCTTCTCCTCCATTTCTTCATCCTGTTAAGATTTGGGGCACACATGCACATGCCCCTGGTGTGTTTTTCAAGCTGCCAGGGCTAAAACTCAAACCACAGTTGGCCTTGTAGGATCTGGCTCTATTAACCACCAGGCTATGGGGCCAGCCCTACCCAGCTGTATTAATCTAGATTTACTCTTTAACATCTCTGAGCTCCAATTTCCTTATCTATAAGGAGGTGCTCAATAATTGGAATTGTTATTCTAATCTATATAAGAGAATGAACCCCTCCTGGAACCACAGAGGTACTTAAGTGGCCCATGAAGTCAAAGGGAGTTCTCCTCTCTCCCTTGACTCTAACTTGAACCTGAGGCTCCTAACCAGGCACCATATCCTACAGCTCAAGAAAGGTAGACTGACCCATGGTTTCAGGAAGAGAGTCAGTTCGGCATCCAGGAATGTAGACCTCAGGCCCAGCCTTGCTTCTGCCTGGCAGTGCATCCCTAGGTGGCCCTATCCCCTCTCTGAGCCTCAGGTTCCTCATGTGTGATGTGAAGGGGTAAGCCAGAGGGTCCCTCGGGGCGTCAGCTCTGACTTCCCTGCCAAGTCTGTGCAGGGTGGCTAGAGATGCCATTGACTTGGTTGACCTTGCCCAGCTGGCTCAGACAAGCCGATATGTG